TTTGGTTGTTTTTGATGTAAGCTGTAAATAAGCTTATAATGCCAAGGTTTGCGTGGAAGAACAGATACACATACTAGTGATGAGGCTTTTTAAAAGATAGTATCTTAAAAATGCGTATTAACCATGATACCTTCTGATAAGCCAGCTTTGGGGTAAATGTGGAATTATACAATATAGGCTTTTGAAATTGGTCAGCATTATTGTTTAGTAGTGCCGTTTATTTTTAGAGTTCAGGGTTCACATACCTGGACTTTGGTCCCTGTGGTAGCTCTGTAAGTGAACAGCAGAGTATTACATGTAAAGAAATGGAGGAACCAGGAGTTGACCCCAGAGCAGAGATAGACTTTCAGAACGCTGTGAAGCTGTGCATCAAATTCCTGATAGTCCCCACATTTTGCAAGGAAGGTTGATGGCTGGGCAGATTTGAAACCTGCCTCTTTTAGGGTCTTTTTAAGGTCTACTTGGAGTAATGCTTGTCCTTCTTAGGAAGCGCAGGGTCCTAGGATGATGCAGTAGCAGGGAATCTGAGGGAAAAGGCTAGACTTGGGTGGACTCTTCTTATAGGTGGGCACAGAGATGACCCTGTGCAAGCTTGGTTGCTGTATTGCGTAGTAGAAGAATGTTTTTGACACAGGAAGACTTGGCTCAGAGATCTGCTCCTGCTGTTTACTAGTCGTAGATCTCTTTTCTCATGTATAAAATTGGAGTAAAACCCCTAATTTACAGTTATAGTGAGGATTAAAGAAGAAAATTGTAAACTCTGAAGCATATGGCATGTTTTTTTGAAGGGAGGATTGAGCAGAAATTAAGGACAGGCTTTGAAGTAATGAGCAGTTTGACTCAGAGGTCCTGGATTTTTATTTTTTGTCATGGCATTTTCAGAGGTACATAAAAAGGAACAGTACAGTGAATGTCCATATACCCATCTGCTAACTTCAACAATTAGCAGCAAGATGCTGCTCTTGTTTCATCCATCCCTCATTCACAGTTACTATTTGTCATTGTTTTTGCTGGAGTATTTACAGCAAATCTTAGACATCATATACTTTTGTTCATAAATACTTCAGTGTGTATTTCTAACAGATCAGAACCTTAAAGAGAACCTCACAAACTATTTTAACCCTCTAAATTAACAATAATTCCTTATCTAATACTCAGAAGGAGCTGAATTTGAAACAGCTCTACCACTCACCAGCTTTGTGTGTTAATCAAATTACTAGCTCTCTCTGAGCTTCTGGTTCCTTATCTGTAACATAAAGATAATACTTTATGAAGTTATTTTGAACTTAAATGAAATAACATACAAAATGTTTAACATGAAGATTCTCAGTAAATGGCCCAACCTCTCTTCTGAGCCTCCTGTGGCATGTGAATTAGAATTAAGGGATGCCCTCCTCCCTTCTCAAGTATCACAAGGGGTATCTGTACTCTGGAATTACTGCCCACTAAACCTAGTAAAATTTCTCTTCATCGAGCTATCTGTCTCTTCTGGTGAAATTCTGTAACAGTTGAAATCTTATCCATTCTTCCTTCCTTCCTGTAGCAACATTATTCTCCTGTCTACTGGCTCATTCCAGTCAGCATATATACGCTATTATTTCATTTATTATTTTTCTAAAATGACCTTTTCTTGACCACACTGTCTCTTCTAACTACAACTCAATTTTTCAGCTTCTTGAAAAGATTGTTTCTGCTCATCTTCAGTTTTCCTGTCCTCTCCTGAACCTACTACAGTGAAACTTTCAGTTCCATCACTGCTGTTGTCAAAACCACCACGTTTAATTCTTACTTGACCTGTTAGCAGCACTGGGTGCAGTAGATGCCTCCTTCCTTGAAATGTTGTATGCTCTGGTTTCTAGGACACCACACTCTGCTGGTTTTCCTCCTGCCTCCTTGGCTTCTTCGCTGTCTCCTTTGTTGGTTCTTTCTTATCACTCCTACCTTTTAATATTGGACTGTCCCATGGGATCTCTGCTCTTTATTCTCATTCTCTTGGTGATCTCTTTCTACCTCATGGCTTTAAATATGGTATATGTGCCAATAAGTTCCAAATTTTTATCTGAAACTCCTTACTGCGTACTTTGACACTTCCACTTAGATATTTCGTTGGCATCTCATACTGAACTTGTCTTAACCAAATTCCCTATTTCCTCTGCCTCTTTCGTGGTCTTCCACATTTTATTTTAGTAAATAGCAGCTTCCTCTATCTTTCCAGTTTCTCAGGCCAAAACTTGGAGTCATCCTTGCCTCTCTTCCTCTCACACACATCTGACCCACCAGGAAATCTTGCCAGTCCTTTCTTCAGAGTCTATCCTGACTCTGAGCAGTTTTCATCAACCCTACTGGTTTAAGTCTACATCACCTCCTCTGAATTACTGCAGCGGCCCTTTTTACTCTTGCCCTCTGTTTGCAGTACTCTAGCAAGAGTGATTCTTTCAAGAAGGTAAGTCATTTTTGTCTCCTCCTGGTCAGAACCCTCAGGGATTCTGTATCTTTTCTCAGAGTAAAAGGCCAGGTTCTATTAAGGCAGTAAGTGATTGGATCCCATCTTTCCTGTCTGACATTTGAACTTTTCTTTTTGCTTACTCCATTCTTGCCACAGTCGCCTTCTTGTTCCTCTCACCGGAGAGCCACATTCCTGTCTCCTGTCCTTTGTATTTGCTATTTGCCCTGCTTAGAATGCTGTTTCTCAGATATATGGGTGGCTCCATCTTTTTCAGGTCTGTGTGCCTATCTCCCCTTTCCAGTGAGGCCTTAGTGTGTGTGTACGTGTGTGTGCGTGTGTTCAACTCTTTGCAACGCCCAGGCTATAGCCCGCCGGGCTCCTCTGTCCATGGAATTTTCCAGGCAAGAATACTGGAGTGGGTTGCCATCTTCTACTCCAGGGGATCTTTCTGACTCAGGGATTGTCTCTTGCATCTCCTGTTGGGCAGGCAGATTCTTTACTACTGTGCCACCTAGGAAACCGGAGGTCTTCTCTTACCACCCTGTTGAGGTGGCAGTTCGTCTGTTTCTGGCCCTCCCTGCCCTCCCTTTCCCACCTTCTTTTTCTCCACACCACTTAAACTGTTTAACTTATGGTATATTTTGCTTGCTTATTTTGTTCATTGCCTTTTCCCCTTCATTAGTATATATAAGCTCCGTAAAAGCAAGGATTAATGTTGCCTTTGTGTTCTGTAGATTCTAAAGCGTCTAGAATAGTGCCCAGCACTAAGTAGGCACTTGAGTATTTGTTCAGTGAACTATTCTTTTATTAGTTTTAGTCTGTCACTTGGTAAAGGATGCTATGGTTGGGATTTTGGGTTTTCCCATGGATGCTGTGTACCTTTAAGTTTTTATGATGTATTTCCTGTTTTCTTCATGAATATCTTTTCTTGAGACTGTTAATAGGCTTTATTATTTATTCATTATAATTTTGAGTCCTTGTTATGTACTAGTTGCATTGGGGGATACAAAGATAAAACATTGACTCTGGCCTTCAAAAATTTAGTCTATGAGGGGAGGTGATGGTATGATTTTGAGATATCTATAAATTTTTTAAAGTAAGTACTTAAGAGATAAAAGGGCTGAGGAATTTAAAAGAGCAAGAAATTAGTTCTGCTAAGGGGAATAAGGGAGAGACTTCAGAGAAGATGTGGTATGTGGTTCCTGTGCTGAGTCACAGGTAAAAATTGGGATTAGATTATGAGATAAAGAGGGAGAGAATTCCATATGGAGGGGACTGCACTGGGAAAATAAGAATGATTTCTATGGAAAAAAACAAAGTGGTTCAATTAGTTAAAGATAAGGGAATATGAAAGGAATTGGTGGAGTGTAAGTTTGGAGTGGAATATTGGAGTCACCGATAAAGGTCTTGAGCGTAAGAATGAGGAATTCAAACTTTATTGTCGACAGTGAGGCTTCAGTGAAAGGTTTTGATTTGAGCAAGAGTGGAGGGATGACATTATTAGAGCTTTCTTTATGAATTTGACAACTTTATGTGAAAAGAGGGGCTGGAACACATATAGTGATTAACGATGCCATTATAACAGTTTGAGGAAAAATGTGATAAAGGTAGTGCAGATGGTTATAAAAAGGATGCCTTGAAACTGATGAAACTTGGTAGCTGGATGTGAGGACTGAACTCCAAGCCTACAAGGTTTCAAGTGTAGTTGACAGGTCAGGCTGGGGTGCCCTGAAGAGAAGTCGGGAACCCAGGAGAGATGGGATCAGGAGACACTTTTACTTTAGTTTTGATATTCAGTTTGCAGGTGTGGTGGTGACATTGTAGGTGATTATTGTTCTGATAGAAAATCAGGAATCTTTAGAAAGGATTTGTATCTGTGGCTTTGTGCCTTCATTTTGATACAATTAATGACTGAGAAGTGATTCAGCTGTCGAAACTGTTTCTGAGGTCTGAATCTTGATAATTGATTTGGGAAACTTAAGTCATCCAAACTTTTCTTTTGATTTGTGAGTGGCTCCACTTGTTTCACGAAGTTTGTTAGACAAGCTTCTCTAAGTTGTAAAGCATTTTAGCAGCTTGAAGCAACTTAACTGTTACCCTTTGAATGCCCCTCTACTGCTGATTCATTGGCTGTGGATATCTTAGCAATGAAAACAGTTCCCTTCATCACTTTGTTGAGATTAGTTTGAGTGAAAAATTTTGCAGATGAGGCCATACCTCTCTTTCTCTTTCCCCTTAGGACTTAGAGGCGTAGAAGAAGAAGACAAGCCTTCTATGCTAATTAATGGTAGTTAAGGTGTTAGTTTCCAAAACAATTCTTTAACAACCTACACTTAACAAAATACCAGAAGATAACAAGAAGATTTAGTTTCTATTTCAGGCAAATTGAAGAACAAGAATAAGGTCTTTTTAGATTTATATCATTTTCATGAGCCTTGTAGCTGGAGGAGTTTTTAACCCCAAGGTTATTTATAGGAAAAAAGAATTATTTGCAAAATAATGTTGATTAAGGTATACAGTTTTTATTTATAGACTGTCTAATGATGCATGATATTTATAATTTTATACTTGGTGCATTTTTAAATAGTTGAATAAAAAGGCATTGTTGAGTTTGTTGGTTAAAAACTTGCAACTTCACCAGCTTGGTTTGGAATGGTGACCTTGAGTTTACCACATTAGTCATCTCTCCTTTATGCTTAGATCGTAATGTCAGTGAATATGGTTTTGGCATTGTTCTTATAGAGTCGGTTCTAACTTTCCAGTGAATAGGAGTCTATAGGAGCCAACTACCCTGAAATGAGAAAGTTTTCCTGTTTAGGATAACTTACATTTTTCAGTCCAGAGGAGGTGCTTATATTGTACATATGGTAGTTAATTTAGCAGATGTAGCATATATTATAATTTTTTTTAACCTCAGGCAATTTTCACTTGTTTGACAAGAATATAGAGTGTAATAATCTTACGAGGAACCTGTAAGAATCTTTTTAGTCTTGCTTTGTTGTTCTTTGACAGATGTGGTTAAGGCCCTTGTTCAAAATCACACACCTCACTGGTAGCAGAGTTAGGATGAGAAATAGGTTTCTTGATCTCCAGGTGTGGACTCCTTCCACCGTGTCAAGCTGCCATGTTAAAAATGTAGACCAGGAAACTTGGAATAAACTTAGTTTAACTTGTCACATTGCTGGCATCTAATGACGTTCAATAAGAACAATTAGGGCTTTTTTCCCTTGTCTCCTTTGACAGTTATTGTTTTTAGGTTAATCATTTTAAAATGAACAATTTGGTGGCATATAGTTTATTTACATGTTGAGCAACCATTCACCCCAAGTAGTTCAAAACATTTCTGTCATTCCAAAGTGAAACCCCTGACCCATTAAGCAGTTTGAAAAAAATTTAAGTGATTAAAATAAAAATTTTTAAACAATTAAAAATCTTTACTTTGACCAGGTCAGCAATAGCAGGTTTGTATTAGAGGTCACCCATCTCTGATTTGCCAGAAAGAGAAAACTTTTTTTGTATTATTTAGTAGTGGACATATTGTATTTACAACAACAACAGCATTACAAAGAAAGTGTCCGTCACGTTATGATTAACAACACTAATAGCCGACATGCTTTATATATATTACCTCTAATCTTTACACTAGCCTTTCATAAAGATTGCTCTGTTTCAGATGAGAAAACTAAGGCTTTGTTCATTACTTACCTGGTAATTTGTGAACTTGTTTTTTGAATCCATTTTGGTTCCAAAAGTTGGCTAACAGCAACAAACGGAAGGGATTGTCTTATTTGGGGGTGGGCCAGGACTGTTTTAGCAGGAAGGTGTATAAGAGGAGGGGAGTAGTTGAGTTCACTGGTTTTGGTAGTGTCTGTAGTAATAACCACTTTCTCCTCACCAATGGATACCTGTATTCCATATGGGAAAAGCAAAATAGGAAATAACCTTTGGAACCCTTTAATGGACATATATATACAATTAGAAGAGATTGCAGTGTAGCTTCTGAGGTGTGTTCTTAGAAATTCTGTATTTCTTTTTTGCTTTCTCATTTATTTTTTCGTGAACTGTTACTTTCTTTTTAAAATTGTAAATTGATTTGCCTGAGTATGACTAGTTGTAACACTATTGGAACTTGATTGACTTTTCCATTTTAGATACTTTTAAAAAGCGGTGGTTCACTTCCAAAGAGTAACTCAAATTGTGTGTGTTGAAGGATTTTATAATTACACTTTTACCCCTGTTGGAAAAAACCCTAATTATATCTTTTTTTAAAATTTGAAAGAACTTTAGTAGGCCAATTTTCAGTTATTCCCCTCAAAGGGGCTAGTAAGTCACCTCATAAAGCTTGTCGCTTTTTATTGCGGTTTGGATGACATGACTTCTTTTCTCCTGAGTAGTAGACACTGGAGTAATTGGCTTTGATCTGCTGGGTTTTGAGTGAAAAGAATGTAAAAGATAGCTTCCTGGCTATTTTGGACAAAATAATTTTTCTTTTTTGGTTATGTGAACATAAGAATATAAGCTGAAACAACAACAGCCATCTCAAATGTCCTGAGTTTAAGTGTATTGATAGTTATCCAAAGAAGTATAGATTTTCGACAGTGACCCTGTGACTTTTGCTAATATCTAAACAGTAGGTACTTAAATAAATGGATTCCATGCTCTTAAAAACTTTTTATTTAAAAATTTTAAAATGCCCTTATATAATAACTTGGCTCAGATATTACACATCATTTGTTCTCCTTTGACCAGGATGAGTTTTTTCACTCTGGAACCAGTAAAAACATATCATAAAGAGTACAGGCTTTGGAGTTGGTTGGATTTCAAATCCTTTCTCTGCCACTTACTAGCTCTAAGACATTCTCTCACCTTAAAAATAATATAATACCTCATAACTCTACCAAGTAGGATTAAAGAGTGATGTCTCTAAAGGCCTCAGCACAGTGTCTGGCACGCATTAAACTGTGTTCAGATTGTAGTTGTTGTAGAAAGAAGTCTAAATTTTGGTAGCCTAGACAAATATCAGTGCAATGCAAATACAGCACAGCCTCATAGTAAAGTGCCCAGTTCTGAAATCAATACATTCCTTCTTGGGTTTTGCGTTTTATTTTGAAGTGCCATGTGTCAGTTTTCACTACTTCCTGCAGCTTGCCCTCCTTTTCTCGGAAATGCTTGGCAAATATCTCCATTGATTATTGTATAATTTACCTCACAGATTAGAAGGTGCTCCCTGTACAAGCTAATGAGGAGGCATTTGCTCCTCATAGCTGTCCTTCCGTGAGGTGTTTGTGTGTTGCATGCTAACAGGTTCTTACCACCTTCAGAGATGTCTGCTGGCTGAATGCCCAAGCTTATGTCAAACAAGAAAGTGCTGGTTGCCTGGAGTGAAAGAAGTACCAACTGCCTACTTAGCATTTATAGTATATTTTATGATGACTGTTAATACTAAAGTATGAAAATCCATATCCTAGTCTATTAATTTTACTCATTACTTCCCCATTACTTGTTTCGCTTCTCTTGTTGTGTTCAGAAAAGCGTACAAAAGGCTTTTTACTCTATAAACTGTAGGCTTGAAATTGTAATGAATTATAATCCAAGAGTATTAGCTATGGAGGGAACTTTGGAGGTCAACTAACTTATCTTGTAGATGAGAAAACTGGCTGAGAGAAGTTGTGAGTTGCTTCAGGACACAGAGAGCAAGTGACAGGTCTGATTTCCAGTCTAGTGCTGAGGGCTAACCTGGTAGAGTGGATAGAGCCCTGGACTTTGAAATCACTCAGTCCTGATTTTGCTTCCTGATTCCACCATTTATTAACAGTATGACCTTTGTCAAGAGCATCTGAATCTCTCCCCTGCCCTGTTACACTTTGTGGGGCTGTGAGGATTATGAGGTAATGTAAGTAAGGCACAGTGCCTGGCATAGGCTATGGACTCAAGGGCTGTGTTATGTTGTACTGTTTTTCTTGATTACTTAAAACAGGTCATATGGTTAAGTGATTATTCTTTATGAAATGGGAATCAATGAGAATGGTTAATGTTTTTGCCAAATCCTTTCACTGAAAAATCTGGTAGTTCATTGTAAGAGGACTGCTTACTGCAAAATGAGAGCAAAACTGTTCTTGCGCTCCAGAGCTGCTCCAAGTTGTGCAGTGTTGACGTTGCTCCTTCCTGGGAAATGTTTGGCATTTCCCAAGGAAAATGGGAATAGAATGTGGAACACCAGAATCCGTCTACGTTTAGTTAGGCTAGCAATTCTCAGACTTCTGAATTCAAGATTTCTTTATATACTTAAGAATTATTGAGGACCCCAAGGATCTCTTGTTTATGAGAGTTTTATCTGTTGAAATTTATATTATTAGAAATTATATATGATAAAATGTATATAATTATTCATTTAAAATAAATGTTAAATTATATATGTGTAAATAAATATTTTAAGTTTTAGGTTTTAAATTTTTTGTTTCAAGTTACAAAAGTAATACATGCAAATTAAAGTAATAAAGAATCAAAATAAAAAATGAAATTATTTCATTCCTGTCGTATACACACTCCAATGCCTGTGGTCAAGAGTTTAGCATGTATTCTTCTACGACTATTTCTATGTAGTTATAAATTCTCTCTCTCTCATACTCCATATGTTGTTTGGTGACTTTTTTAAAAATAAAAATTGCATGTATTTAAGGTACCCAGCATGATATTTTGATAAACATATATCTAGTGAAATGATTATCATAGTTGAGCTAATTACTATATCCATCTTTGGTGTAGTTACTTTTTTTTTTGGTGGTGCAGTCACCTGAAATCTGCTGTCTCAGCAAATTTCTAGTATCCAGTACAGTATTATTAGCTATAGCCATCATGCTTGACATTAGATTAATTGATTTATTCATCCTACATAACTACCACTTGTACCCTTTGACCAACATCTACCCATTTCCCCCACTTCCTGTAAGTGATGTATTTTTATTGAAAAATAACTATTTTCCAAAACACAAAATAGTAAGAGTAGCATCGCTTTACATTTTAGCAAGTCTCATTAATGTGTAGCTTAATAGAAGAGAGCTGCATTCTGATAGGTGCTTCTGCATTTAGTCTGTTGTGGTATGTTGTTCTAGTTGAATTTGGCCTCCCATAGATTTGAATTTGAAAGAAGGGAGGTGTAGCCTCTTCTGATAATTTTGGGTATTCTTCTTTAATACTATACTAGAACTTGACAAATAGTAGTGTCTTAATGGATTTTGAAACCAGATCAGTGAGCTTTTTATATTTGTCACATTAAAATTTGTTGATCTGTTGCATTTCGAATGGATCTTTATCCATACGTGAATTTGTAACATCGTACGTTGGTCGTTTGGAAAATGTTGGTTTGCTAAATTATGTTGAGCTTCCGAACATGATATATTTCATTTTATAGTATCTCCATACATTTTTGTAGCCTCTGGAAAACTCTGCACTTGTGAGTTTAAATGAGAGTTAAAATGGCATGTAATGCCTTAGTACTTCTGTACAAATACTTTTGGCCTTTTAGACCCTTGAAAGTGTCTTGAAGACCTCCAGAGGTCCCTGGATCACAGTTTGAGAAACTGTGGAGTTAGACAAATTGATAAAGTAAAGGTAGTGACCAGATAAGCAGACTGCAACTTAATAATCGGTAATCTGGAAATTAAAATGCAGTGGATTGTTGTGTAAGTCTCATTCTCAGAAAGTATCTTAATATATTCCTTGAAATAAAAACTGGGCTAATTTTGAAGTGCAGTGACTTGGTCATTGACTATTTAAGTGCTTTTTATAGAT